TGTGGTTTACAAGCTAATAATAAAAGTCAAGTGCTGCAAAACAATGCTGCGTAAATCTTGTTAAACATTGATGATGAAGCAAACCACAAATTGTAAAATTATAAATAGGCAACTTAACCTAGCACTCTGTTTCTACATTTGTTCTAAAAAAAATCATAGTACTGTAGGCCGAAAGTACAGCTGACCTAAAATCTTATAAGGTTGCCGTCTTTGGCGCATGTTTTAAAGGGGAAATTTTTTTTTTACTATAGAGTAGGTATTTTGTTTGGAAGGCCACTTTTCAAACTTCAGTTTATAAATTTGTTACCTTAACATGACTTTTACCCAGAACTCATTGCTGTGGTTACAGGGGTCCCAAGTTGAAGAACTCCATTCGCGGGAGATTTTGTCGTGAACCTTTGGCCGCCTGCAAATACAACGCGCGCTGCGTTGCAGCCATACTTAACTACTCTTAATATCAAATACTTGACATACAATGATCAAACCCACAGTTAACTTGCTCTTGCTTTCATTTTTATTTACACAATGTAAATTAATACCATGAAATTACATAAATTCTGGAATCTACTAATCTGTACAGTAGGCCTAGTCTAATATTATACATTATTCATTTATTTACATTTAGGCCTACTACATCAATATCATTAATTAAATCAATTTACTGTCTGGCATCTGTTAGTTTAATATTGTATTCAACAGCAGTAGTAGTAGCTTCTTTGCTTTTGCTGTAAGAGAAGAGCGGAATTTGGATGCAGTTCAATCATGGCAAACAAGATTGTAAACATAGAAAACGAAAATATTATCTCAAAATGTATGTAACCTAATTTTTTTTATTTTTGTTAAAATATCGATAGTCTTGTCTAGGTGTACGTAGCTTGACTTAAAAAAACCTTAACTGAGGTCTACTGTAGACCTAAGGTATTTTAAAGACGGTTGGCCTAGTCTAGGCCCTAGCTAGTACAGGAAAAAAATGGCTCGAGGAGGCGGGTAACGACGAGTGCATCTAAACCATCCATTTCCAAGTCACAAAACTGAATATAGAACGTATGATTTGTTATCACAATCACATAAAACTGTTTAAAAAGTAGTCAATATACCATTAAATATTTTTCAACATTGGCCATTCCACCGTTCTTTACCGATATTACAGCATAACCACCAACAACATGGACCTCCATGCTTTCAAACAGTATACTTTTTCCCATAGAGATACAATAAGAATACTAAAGCGCTAAAAGCAATGTATTCGATCTTCGAAATACGCAGAACTGTGTGCGTGTACCATCCAAGATGGCTGCCATAGATTTAGCCAATCAAATTTCGCTAAGCACCATCGTTTGCAATTGCTCCCTCAATTTACTCAGAAAGTTCAGTACAGCTAGTTACCCGTATGTTTAAAACTCGAGCGTTGCGGTGTTTGGGTGTAATGTACACGATTTTAATTTTCATTCCTTGGTACTTTATTTTTGAATAAGATGCTCCACTTGGCCTCGTTTTGGCTACAATAGTTTAATAATTTGTTATTCATATCACTCATTATCATTAATGAAATAATAGTCAGTCAGAGGGCTTATTAATATGTAATAATACTGTATGTATACTAAGCATGAAGGTGGCGCTTTACGACGGCCATCTTGGGTGGTACACATACATAACTCTGCATTGCTGCTCCATCTTGTCAGCACTCTAGTTATTTAATAGCTCTATGCTTTTTCCAGAGTTTAGTTGGTTGACCTCGATGGTGCGTACTTCTTGAATTGTGAATTAAAAGCACATGAATTTTGCGTTTCTTTGCTGGAGCCATATTTTTACTTATTATTTTTTACTATTAATTAATAATTGTGTGATTATTTTCATGAAACAGCTCGATAAAATTAACTTTATGCAAAAAGTTAGCTGTAGGCCTGTCAAAGGGCGTATTGTTTACGGGGTTGTTTAGATATCAAATCACACTGCAGACATGGTCTCAGGCCGGGCGTCGGAAGGATGGGTGCATCAACTTTTTTAATAAACAAAGTGTATTTTGATTCCGTGTTTTCAGCAGCTACCGTAATTAATTGCAAAAGCAGTGATGGTAGGGAATGGAATAAACTTATTTGTGATTGTTTACGATTGTTTTTTAACGTCCTGAGTTATGTTTTTACCTAGGCTAACTGATATTCAAAACTAAATAGCCTACTCAAATTTTAAAAAATTTACGGGAGAATTTTTTTCATGGGGTAGAAAAACGTAAGCTTACGGTAGCGCGGTAGGTCGTTGCTAAAAGCGGTAGACTACCGCAAGTCGCGGTAGACTTGAGACCTCTGTGGTTACTATTTTACAACCAAATAAAATGCATGGGACAATGAAACCTAGAATTAGGCCTTTAAATCAAGATTTGTTTATAATTAACAAAAAAAAACAATTATACTTTATTTTCAGGCACAAGTGTCCATGTTGCAATACACGTCTTGAGCATGCACAGTTAACACATGATCCTCAGTTTGATAGTCTTGTGGCAAGTGTGCTAAAGGAGAGAAAAGCCGCAGAGCAGTCATATTTCTCAGATCTAATCAAAGCAGGTAAACTCATATCCAAAAACAAATGCATGAGGCTCTTTCCTGGGGCGGATTGCTATAAGTGGTCTTTAGACGGTCTTGAGCTTAGTCGGCTCTAATCGTGACATCACTAATGGTCCATGACTATAGACCATTTCTGCAGTATACCACAGTCTAACCAGTTAATAGCCATCTTTAATTTTAAAGCCTGCTTGGAGGAGGCTTAGAAATTGTCTTAAATCATTTTCATCATGGTATTGTAGGTGCTAGACCTAGGCCTAGATTGTCAAAGACTAAGAATCGAACGATGAATATTCGTAAATAAGTTTATTTACGTTCATTTTGATAAATATGCATGTTTTGAGCAAGAGTAACAGCCCCCTCAATTTTATGTTAAACCAGTGAATGCTTGTTTGTGTTTCAGTACTCCAAGCGGTCTAAGCGAAGACTGTTTTATAGCAATAGTCTTAGCAGAGTGACTTTAGTAAGACCGTCTTAAGTGATAAAGCTGGCTTTATTCAAGGAGTTAAGACAATAAGAAATTTGAATATTTGCGTATAATACACTATTGAAAATTTATCATATGAAGGCTGAAGGATTTTTTTGAAAGCATGAATCTTAATAAATTTCCTCTAGTGTAATTATAAATACGCACTATTCTAATGGCTTTATAAATCAATCATCGTGTTTTAATGTTAGTTTTATGTTAATCAAACTTTTGTTGTAGCCAACAGTTTCTATAGTGATGTGGTCAGTATATCTGTGCATATATTAAATTTAGCTGTGCGTGAGGATTGTTGCTGCAGTAGTACGAGCTAGTCAGCAATGCAGTTGAAATGTTATGTACAACGTTTACACTGTAGTACGATGAAAATATATTTGATTGTGTTTGAAGAACTTGTCATGAGCTTATTATGTTGATTGACATTCGTCAAAGAAATAAAAATTTCTTCGAGAATCTGGGAGAATACTATACAACTCTTATCACATTTTGGTCAGTGCAGACTGATAAAATCGTGTGATGGATTTACCTAGGCTTACAAATCGATCTAGGGCATTGCTAGACCTGGATATACTGCCTACATTAAATGTATTCCATGCATCTTTGAAACAGGTCTAGAGAGGCCTAAAATATTCCTATTAAAAATTCAGTTCCTTTAGTTTCCTTAATTTTTAATACATAATACAGTATTGGTTGTTCTAATATACAGTACCTTGTTTTACGAATGTCATTTTTTCAATTACCAGTTGTCAACAAATGACGACCGGATAGGTGTCCTTTTAGATAGGTGACACGCTTCATAGTGCTAGGTGTAAAAATCCTAACCTAGAATTCATCGCCGTACGTGCATGATAAGCTGAATTGGTCTTTTGCACACATACCTAAAAAAGATCCAACCAAGTGTGCACTATATGAAAAAATAGTGGACTGTGGGGATAGGCAAATATCATTGAAAGTTGCAGTGATGTGACGTCACAATTGACTTATAATAGTTATAAAATGCTTTTTTTTATTGATAGCTCATGAACAAGAGAACAGGGAACATGCTAGAGAAAAAACACCTATTGAAATTGTCCTTCAAAGTAAGTAAATCCTGAATATTGATAATAATATTAATTGTAAATAGTGCCATAAATTTATTATTGAATCTGAAATGTGCAGCAGAGTGATTGGCTGAGAAATATCCTTCCTGCTTCTTGTGCTAAAGACCCTGGTTCAAACCCAGCCAGCGTCAGCTTTAATTGGAGTCTGATAGCTTGGCTCCTCAAGTAACCCTCTTATTGAGAGTTAGGACTATTAAGGACAATGTTTGTATCTTTTAAGCCATTTATTATTAATATTTTTTTAATGTATTGATATATATATATATATATATATATACAAAACCACCATAAGAAATAAGGACTCTAATCATAGCAAATCTTTACACTTCAATTCCATAATCATAACATTAACGACATGCGCTTCCTAATAATATGGCCCAGCTTTAAATCTACTAATGATAGACGCTGCGAAGAAACCAAATGGATCCACCACCTAAGAACCCATGTTAACTGCCTATTGATAGAAATAACTATCACCTTTATTGTATATATTACTTAGCTTTATGCAATGTAGATCAGTTATGCTGATGAAGTCTTCAGGAGAGGACGAAATATTCGTTTAAATAAAATATATTTATGTTTCGAAATATGTCAACATTTTCTTTACTGTTTGTCTCCGGCACACACACTTTTCTTTTATAATACGTGGAACATACGTGCAACACATACATGACTATTTTAATTAGACCAATATAAAATTATAATGTAAGATATGAATGTGTCCATTGGAATTGGAAAGAAATAACTTAATTAAAAAACAGTCTCATGCCTTCGAACAGTGACCCACTTGGCATAAATTTTTCTTTATTTTTTCACTACCTCAATGCATTTAAAATTCCAGTTGAAACAATTTACAAACAACAATGTAATTTGAATTGTAACATATCCAATCAAATAATTTTAATTTATTTTCTTGAATTTTAGAACACCTAAGCAGAAGCCTGGCCCAGCATGAAGTGTTTTACCAGGAGATTGAGAGTAGGTTAAAACAGCATATAGCAACAGTTGAAATGGATAAGGAGACCCGCCTACAGATGTTGCGAGAGCCAGGCACTCTCAGTGCAGGAGGTACAACTGACACTCGTTATCATCATCCTCATAATCTCCACCTGCTTCTTCACATTATCATCATCATTATTATCATCATTATCTTTGTGTTTATATTCCATTCAGGCCCCCATTTTCAAATTTCATTTTGGAAATTTTTTTAGTGACATAAAAATAATTAAATATAATTTTTTCTGCTAGAGTAATACAAATTTCTTTGATAAGAATAATAAAGATAATAAAATTTTTTTCCTAAATAAGTAGTTTTAAAATAGAAAAAAAATAATTATTTTAATAAATTTTTTTAGGCTACGAGCCGGTTCAGTCACCTTCACCGCACTACGCACCGTACAGTGGCGGCACCAGCAGGGTGGCAGGGGGGGACTTAAGCCCCCACCGGACAGGTCAAGCCCCCCCGCCGGACAGAGTTCGTCGGGCAGTCAGACCATAAAAGATATAAAAATAGGCCAACACATGTCTGTCACAGTCTGAGAGTGCCATTTTCGGCCATCCACAGCCACAAAAAAAAAATAATTTTACGTGGAAATATGAGGATATGATAACCAAAACACGAAGAAACATTTTTTTATAAAAATTGTTGGTATTTTCTCGAATATTTAATGAAAATACATGCACACATTACTGCACATACCGTACGTTTTTTTAAAATTATTGTTAATTAATTAATGATGATAATTAGCGAGCGCTTATGGGACTGAATGGGTTATTAATGAATATATGTTTTTGTTATGGTTAATTGTGTAGAGGTTGCTGTTAGAATTGTTGAAATTAATGAAGAGTGTGACGCATTACAACAAGCCTTGCAGACTGAACTAACAAACAGCACGCAGCTCATTGTTGATGCCTATGATAGGTAAGCAGTGATGTTATGCTTTTTGAAATTTATATTTTATTGCCCTTGCCTCTACCACATCAACACTGCCCTCTACAGAATGATAAATGATAATAATGATGATGAAACCTTAAAGGGATCATTCAATATGATACAAACCATGGCCTTTGCTTGTACTTATTATGCTGGCCTAAGCCTGCATTCAATTTGGCCTTGGCCCCCGCTTTGCTCACAATTTTTATTAGCAATCATCAGCTGGAAACAACATGCTGAGTATGTGTAATAAGGGCCCTATCATTATTGGTATATATTTTCTGCAGTCAAAGTATTGTGAGGAAGACATCATCAACACACATCAATATCATAGTCTTGAATG